ATATTTTATGTTTACATAAAGGAGTGGCTGCTTCTTAAAATTCAAAGATACAATACATACTGGGTAAATTAAAAAATTATTTTTAGAACATTAAATTATATTGAATGTCTGTGTATAAGGACTATTTTTACTGACTTGCTGGTAAATGTTTAATGTAATCTATTCTTCAACAGGTTTTTCACACGCTAGATATGTTCCTCTAAAAACTACTTGAATTTTTTTCTTTTTTTTTTTTCCTTACAAAAGTCTTATACCTAGTACGTATACAAAATCCCAATGCAAAGTGTAATGGGTAGTAATTTACATCGTAGCCGTTCTGCGGCAGACTGAAACTTAGCAGGAGCACGCAATCAAAATACTATGAAACAGCAGCTCAAGGTGTTTTATTCCCCCCGCTCTTGTCAGTGGCTGGTGCTTCAGCCAGTGAGCAGGGGTACGAAACTGCCACCCCAGGAAAGACAGAGGAGGTCAGCGCTTTCAGACCTGATGTTTCCAAAACCAAATCCAGAAATTCAAACTACCAGTGACATCTTTGTGCATTTTATACTACACCGTGCATGCAGAACACTGCTCTGAATCTTCCCATTTTTATTTATCCCCTTCTGAAGCACAAGCGTCCCTCCACTCCTGAGCGCTTTAAGAAATAAATTTGATTATTACCACAGCCCTGGCTGACTAGACTCAAGATCCTTTCTGAACAACTTGCAGTGCTACACATATCTTAACTGCTCTTCAAACAACAGACCTTGCTCAGTTTAGTCAACAGGCTCGTCTTTCACCTTGAGGTAGTGCTTGTAATGAAGAAAATGCACAGGACACCAGATTCAACACCTCCGTTTTGCAAATAAAGTGCCGCAGGACCCTAAGTGCCCCAAGAGACAAATGGATGTGTGGCCAGCGCCAGCCAGGCTGCCGCAGTGCTGCCGGCACAATGCCCACAGCACCAGCAGACGGTGGAAGGGCCGTGCATGGCAAGGCTGGGCCCTGTCTGCTGGGGCCTTCCCACCCCTTTCTCCCCCTCACTCTTGCTATCACGGCTGCCGTCCTGCCATCATGCAGCCAAGGAGAAGCTGCGTCCGGCTAACTCCTGCCCCGGCCTACAGGCCAGGCGCTGTGTGGGCGTCTGCACACTGACCCCATCACAACGGGCCTTGCCTCAGTGGCTTCTAAAAAACTTACCATGAGAGCGAGGAGTGACTAGTACAAAAACCACCTACATTTGTTCAAGGGCCTGACCCTCAGTACCTCCGATGGGTGCTCAGCACAACACGGGATCAGGCCCTAAACCTATCTGTTGTGAAAATGCTAAGATTACAGAGTGTTTTTCCTCCCACAGCATTACCTCCCTGTCAGTCATGGCTCGTACTCTTTGTATCTGACTTACATTTTCCAGAGCCAAGAAGAAATCCATCTAAATTAATACAATGCTTAAGTAACTAGATACTGTTTTTATATTTATTTAGGGTTTTTTTAGTGTTTCTTTTAAAATCATGAATCTCCATTCAGTTGTCCCTTCTTGGGGTTTTTTTGCATTTTGTACTCATCCATGTTGGAAGTATGCTAATTGCTTCCACAGTAGTAAGTGGTTTATAAGCAAAGTATAATTGATCTAAGCACAAAGTTTTCATTTGGATTGATCTTATATTTGTATTAACAAAAGCATAATCTTAGCATTATTCATCAGATGCATTTTTAGTACCAACAGCTATAATATTAAAATTTTACAGCATCAGTAACAGTTCTTCAAGGGCTTTAGAGGAAAAATATAAGCATAAACAATTCCGGTGTCATCAACTAGTTCCTGTAAAATATTAAGCAGAATATTACACAAATTGGCCATTTTATGATAAGTAATATGGAGTCAAAGACTCAGGTTATCAAAACAGTGTAGCACTGCTGAAGAAAACAGAGCTATGCTGATTCATATCATAGGAGAAGATAACTCCAATTGTTTAACCCCTTGAATGCTAAATATCTGCCTGAATCTCAAGAAAGATTTAAAAGCATCTTTTAGGATTCCTTTCTCAATGTTTAAAATATTTAGAAGTATAAATATGGCAATTCATAATTAGAGTGCATTATTAAGGTATTAACATATTTTTTCTGTCAAACCTTCCCCATTTGAGGGCTTGTAATTTGTTGTGGGATGTAGGAAGAAGTTAGAAAGTTCTTTCCCAAGAATTCCCTTGGTTGCTCCATGCTGGACATGGTCACAGCTAGCTAGCTATGGCTTCATGGAGATTTCTACCAAGAGAGATACTAGAGCCTGGGGCTCTATTTTCTCTGATTAAAAGCTCTCTGTGAAAAGCCTACATCTTTACAGCGGGAGTTATAAAGATTGCTTTATCACCAATACGTGTGCATGGTAACAGAGGAAGGGAAATGCAAGGGCTTTGGGGATAACACAGGGTCCTTGCTCAGATGACCCTGGCTTTTTATTTTTCATCCCCTGGAATCCATGTGCATGTAAGTATTTGGAAGAATTTGGCAGTATGCAACTTCCACCCTTAGATAAAACCACGAGGGAAAAATCCTTCAAAGAAAATCTCATCCTCAGGCTTTTTCATTCCAGTTCTTGGTGATAAAGTCTTTTTTTCAGCTTTGAAGTTTGCTATAGAAGGGCTATTTGAGTAACAGACCCCCAAAGAACCTTCCTCTTTCCCCTCATCTTTTAAAAATGATGAGAACTCATATTTTGTTAAACAATCTGAAGACTCATGTTCACCTGCAGATAATGTAACACCTTAGAAAAATTTTCTCATTACTATATTGGCTAAATAAAAAAGTGACCGAGTTACTGTGTAGCAAGTGAATTTTGGTTTAATTCAATTGCTGTTTGTGTGTGACACTGGGCTTGTGTCCTTGCACTGTCCCCTACAGTGTGACACCTTCCCAGATGGCCCAGCTGCCCTGGGCATGGTGCTGCCCCATACCTCCGTGGGCTGTGTTTCTCCACACTGCAGCTTCGTCCTCCCAGTCCCTTTTCCTGCCATGCACTGTGTGGGACCTGAGCTGCTAATGCCACCTGTTAGTAATTCGGTGGCTCCTCATCTTTTTTTCTTTCCTACCAGCAAACCCCTCATGTCTTCAGAACTACCTTTCTCCCTGAAAGGTTGTGCTCTCCCTCTCCCACTGCTTTGTAACACCTGTGCTCATCACATTCTGCCTTTTACTCTTGGCCACTCTCCTTCTCCCCCATGTGTAAGCCAGTTGGCTCAGTACTCCCTGAAGCGGGCACCTTAAAACAGCAAGGCCTCCATATACCTCAGAGCCCTGCTTCCCTCCATGCTGTCCCCTCCTCCTGCTCATCCATTTAAAACAAACCTCTGAGCAGTCTTAAAATTTGGCAGACGTGTATTCTCCCTCCCCTTTCAGTGGTTGTACTTATGATGGCACCATGCATGGCCAGTATCATGACCCAACCGTGCAAACCAAGGCTGACTCGCTGCCATAGCTACATTCCAGGCTTCTTCCTTCAAGGGGTTCACTTGTGACCTTGCTGCAGCTTGAGGGGACAGGGAAGATGACTGCTTACTTGGCTTGTCCAATTCACTCATGGTCATCTTTCTTTTCTCCTAGTTTTTTGAGGAGCCCTACCACAGTGGTGGAGTATCATCCCAGAAAGTCAACGCAGGATATCTTTATGGACTTGCTTCCTAGTTTCTTTTTGTTATGCAAAATATAGTGATTCAGACACATACGGCAGGACAAATTATAGAGAGATGGTCATTCCAGGGTTTCAGCTCCACTTCTGAATTATGCTGATTTTGTGCAGTTACACAACCTAAGGCAGTCCTTACGTAGATAGACAAATTTCAGGAATCCTCTTTGTTTCAAGAAGTTAACCTGTGTCCCAACACAAAAGATAACAATTAGACTAGTGATTCTCAATGTAGGGGTCCACCAAATGGGGGTGAAAGCCAACAGAAATTCAATAGCAAAACAGGGATTTGCAAACAGGATTGGCTTTACAAGTCTGGATGTGAACCTAGAAAAACTGAAGTCCCCAGCAAATAAGTCTGGAGTGCTAAAATACATCTCCAAGTATGTGCTCCTAGGCCCAGTAACACTATTTTACTTGTAGGGCACTTCAATTGCAGCAAGTAATAAGGGAGTGTAGCTTGAACTAGAAAGAAGGAATCACCCATTACAGCACATCTAATGCAGTTCTGTTTAAAAGAAACAAACACGCCTGTGCTCTGTTGTGCTGTTATTTGGTGCTTCAGTATCTTTATTATGAAAATAACATAATAGAGGATTCAGTCTATTTTTGCTTTCTGAGGTGGCTTGTAATAGTTGCACAGATGGGTAAGTTGAACTGCTCTCCATATTCAAGGGTGTGATTGATGCTTCAGGATAGCTACCGTGAGGGCCCCCAAGGGCACTCATCAGGGCACCGGATATGCTTTATGCCTTGGAGACAGGGCCCCTCTCTACCTGTGTTGCCATCACGCTCACTTGGAAAAAACAGTTGTTAATTTAAAGGACAGAGAGATTTGAATTGGTTTGTTTTCTCTTAGGAATAAATTAATAAAAATATTTCACCAAGAGAAAATCAGTAAAATTTTGGATTTGTTTGTATTTTCTGATGTACCAACAATCAGCTCAATCATGTAAAAGCCTTAGTTCAGCACGTATTTCTAAATATGTGGCTAAATTTAACCACAGAGCAGTTTCACTAAAGTTAAGATGAAAACATTAAAGAACCTTGTTAATCTAAAGAAACTGTAAAATCTAGTATATAAAAGCCAAATTTGTAAAAAGGAAGTTTCAGGATTTCCAGATGTTTGCTAGGCTTGTATGATTAAAAAATGCAACTGAGCTGCTTAATGGATAAGACAGTGTTTCCAGAGAAGATAAAGAAAACTAAACATACATCATCACATTCATTACTTTTTGCTTTGTTTCACTCATTAAATACAAAATGTATTGTTGTTTTAACCTTTGACTCTAAATCCTAGCTGCATTTGTGTAAAATAAAATGAATCAAAGATAGCTGCAGGTAACCAATCTCTTTAATTTGACATGTTCCAGACAACCTTTTATTGTGTTTAAATACGAGAATATTTTACTTATTGCAAAGTATCCTGCATAATACAGGTGCTCCGCTATAAAATCTTCTCTCTTGCTTATAATTCAGTCATTCTAAATTTAAAATACCAGTATACAGTACTAAAACCTCAAATTGAAGTTTAATATAAAAATATCAGCACAAAACTCCTTTTTAAAGTCTGTTTATTGTGAGCAACCCAAATGCCTGTTTAATTATTATTAGTTGTAGTATATTAATAGACTTTGCACCCCTACAGTTGCTAATTCATACCATCTCAGGTATTTTGATGAGATAAGAAATACTAAGTAAGAAAACAGTAAGTATTCAAAGGGTTAATTTGCTTAGAATAACAATAATAAATTAGTTTTTTGCATCTTCTTCAGTTCAAAATCCAGCTTTGAGACTGAGGAAGGCTTCCAAATCACATCAATTAAATAAGAGTGGTCCTTTTAACCAGTAGCAGTTTGATTGCCAATGACTCGAAGAATCTCTTTATGAATGCTTGGTTCCTGTGTATTTATACTTGTATCACCCACTTGACCATCTTCATAACTAAAAAAAAAGTACAGAAAATAAAATCAAATTAGTGTTTTATTAATCTACCTAAAAACACCTAAAACTGTTTCGTTCAATAATCAAGAGTGCTTATTCCATTATGTTAACATGCTTCTATTAAAATGCTCTGTTGCACTTCACCATTGTATGCAGTTCCTAAACTCTAGAGAGTGAAGGATGGTAAGGCTGTCATTGTCATTGTCATTGAAACCCTGAGGCTGAATAAGCCACTAGGACCCAAAGCGGACAAGTCATAGGTGAGAGGGGAAATGCTCACATCATGGACAGGAAGCCTTTAATGATTTCCTCAGCTTTAAAACATACAGCCAAATACAAATGATATTTTACGATACATGGATAGACTTACGGTAACATGAGGTAATGCTACAGAGTGGGAAAAATCAGTAACTCTCCATTCGTTTATCCTGTGACAAAACATCTACTAAACCTTTGTCACTAGCTTATCCATACATTTCCTAACAAAAGTAAGTACAGAGAAAGATAAAAAATGAAGTGATACTGAAAAGAATTAAGAAGAAACGTCTTTTATCTGCTTCAATTACAACTATTGGAGGGAACATGGGGAAAAAGGTCTAGGACGAACAGAAGTTGAATGTTAAAAGAAGCTTTGTACTCACACAAAGAAAAATCTTGTACACACGTGATCCGTATTGGGAACTACCCATATCTCTCCATGTTTGTGCAGATCGGATGAGGTTATCACTACCAGGGAAAGAATAAATTTTATAGTGATGAAAACATGCCTGGAAAATATTGCTTTGAAAGATTTGCCTTTTTATACACTTTAAATAGCCTTCTGGGAATGTGTAGTTTTCCACTGCACATCTGTGGTGTGGTGTAGACTCTGAGTTGGCTGCTAGTACAAACAGGGAGATGAACTTGATTCTTGTTTCCAAAATGTTATATTTTCCAGAAAACACAGATGCTTGATGTATGGGAGCAAGTTGTTAATGGGAATGAAAAATGAAAAAGTATATTTATTAAAAACTGATTTTAAGCGGCCATAGGGCTGTTAAGGAGGATCTGAGTCAACTAATCAGCCTTTGGAGATATTTTGTGTTTGATGATGGCTGAGCCAAAAATAAGATGTTAAAGACAAAGCCTGAAACTGAGATATGACAAATTTGGGATCTGCAATACTACCAAATATTTTTAAAAATTAAGCATAGCAATTATGACTCAAGGGGATCACGAAGCTTGCCAAAACTTGCTCAATGTTTAGAAAACAGCAATGTATGTGACAATAGGTTGTTTACCAGCAGAACGAGGACAACACAGGAAAGAAACCTTTTTATTGGTAGGTAGAAGCTATACCATCAATCTGCATTTGAAAAGATTTCTAGAAATGCATTTAAACAGCATTCTGCTGGACAAGTTGTCCAACTGTGGGATGAGCAGGTTCACTGTGCACTGGGTGAAGAACTGGCTGAAGGGCAGAGCTCAAAGGGTTGTAGTGAACGGGGCTACATCTGGCTGGTGACCAGTCACCAGCGGTGTTCCTCAGGGCTCAATTCTAGGGCCAGTTCTGTTCAATAAATTTATCAACGATCTGGATGCAGGAGTTGAATGCACCATTAGCAAGTCTGCTGATAATACCAAACCGGGAGGTGCTATTGACTCTCTTGAGGCACAGGAGGCCTTGCAGAGGGATCTAGGTAAATTGGAGCATTGGGCAATCATCAATGGCA